ATTTTAGTCACGCTTGGTTAATTATGGTGTAAACAAGAGGCAATCAAGAAAGGATGGTGGAGGCGGAGATAGTTGAGAGAGTGAGCGTGAAAAAAAAACATGAAATTGAAATATGGAATTGATTTTTGGGAGTTTTCAAAATTCAATAAATTAATAAGCTTTTTTAACACATGGGGTCCTACACAACAGCCAAATCCCACGTTTCCTTTCCTCCATGCCCAGACATGTATCAAACTTTTTTACTGCTTGTGAGTTTTTCTCTGAAAAGTTTGTTACTCTTACTCTTGTTTTCTTATTGTGTGACGACCAATTTTAATGCTCCGTAGCTTCATGTTTAGGATAATAACCTTGAACTCATATCTTATGCATTGTTGGTTGCTCATTTGCTTGTTTAGGCTACACATTTGTGATGTTGTACCTGACTTCACTCTCGCGCTTGTTACTCTATTTGTTTTGAGTCGCTTCGTGGGCCTTCTTTGTTATCAACTTCCCATTCTAAGTTGTCTGCCTCGGGATGGTTATTAGGTTCATTCTATTGGCCGAAAGGAGTTTTGGTATCAATAATGGTATTCTTATATTCAGAAATGAAAGCCTTGCATATTAGGTTAAAATATTTTATCTGAATTACGTTATGTACACACTTGCACTCAGGTGTAGGGGTCATCATTAGGCCAGCGAGCCTATGGGCCAGCCCATCGAGAAAAAGCTCAGCCGGCCCGTTGTTGAGTGGGCTGGGCTTGGGATTGGGTGTTCAAAGCTCGGCACGGCCCATAGACCTGGTCCGTTTGAGCCCAAGAAAGCCCGGTCCAAACCGCCCATAAAAGCCCGGCCCACGGGCTCACATACATATAAATAAATATATAAAAAAAACCCAAGTAAGATGAAGTATGGAGAAAATCATTATCTATTATCATTGTAAGAACTAAAAAAATGAAGTATGAGATAAAATATAATTTTATTAATATGGGGTTGTATAACTATATCTTTATTTTTATGGGGAAAAAAAAAGAACAAAAAAAAAGAGAACTATGAAGTTATGAACAAAGCAAAAAATGGAGACATAAACATATAGACAAATGTAAATTGAGAACTATGAAAAAAAGAGGAAACATAGAAACACACCAAAACATAGGGAAAAAAAATAAAGAATTGACCAAAAAAAAGACAAAATAAAGTAGGTCCATTTAGGCCCGCTCGTTGGGCTTAACTCGGCCTGGCCCGATGGGCTTTTTAAAGCCAGGCCCATAGGCTAGGCTTGGGCTTTGAATTTTTAAAAAAACCCGACCCGACCCAGCCCTTTATTTTCTCTCTCCTCTTTAAAGCTTGGCCCGACCTGACCAAGCCCATTAAATTTGGGTCGGGCTAGCTCGGTCCGGCCCATTTACAAAGCCTACTCAAGTGACCAAGAGTGACTTTGAGATTTTAAGGGCTTTGTGCCAAAACAACAATAGGGCCTCCTAAAATAAAGTCATCTATGAAAAATTATAAAAAGAATCCTACCATATAATCAAAACCTTGTGATCATCAAATTACTAATTATCACTAACCAAGAAGAAAGAGAAAAAAAATGTATTTCAAGGCAAGGGAAGGGAAAAGCAAATCGTAGAAGGGCCCAAACTTTGTTTTCAAGGTTTGACCAAAAAAAAAAACTATGTTTTCAAGGCCACTTAAAAGATGTCTAAGAGCATCTCTTAGGGTGAGGTGTTAAATATCAAACATTAAATTTGAATTTGATTGCTTATATGGCAATTTGACATATAATAGAGTTTTACATTCCACTCGTCATGTCAAATTAACACATTATTTCATTTTTATTGGTTTACTACTTTCTAGGCACGTTAATTGAAAGAAATAATTAAATAATTAAATAATTAAATAACATCACAAAGTCAAACAACCAAAAATAACAGTATGAGAGAGAAATTTTATTCCACGTATTATTTAACATTTCAGTTGGAGTGAGTCTCAACTTTTTTTTCTACATGCTAAAAGTGCCACGTTGAAGTTAACATCTCCAAAGGAGATGCTCTAAGTTACCTACAACAAGTGCAATTTAGTGACAAGAATGTTGACGCGGAAAAATTGTTTGGCCTTTTTCCTGCTCAACTTAGTGATGTTGGCCTTCAGTATGCTTCTAGGCCTTGGTGGAGTACGTGATCTGCAAGATAACGCACGCTCGGTAAGACCTTATGGCACCGGTGTGGTACCGGCCGAAGGCTCTCCAATGCTTAAGTGAGTTTGGATATAGTAAACTTAAACTGACAGATCAATAGGTTGTATGCCGTAAGTTCTTATTACCTCCATTTTGGGATAGTGGTTCTCTTTTATAGGCCTTGGAAGGTGTGCATTTTGTTTGAAATTTTGATGTGGGACTGTAGACGTCAATTGTAGGCCTGCCATGTGTCCTAGAGAGGGGTTTGCCCTAATTGTTGAATCGGTAGGCAAGGTGCTGAAGGCTACCATAGTCAAGCTCAATCTTGTCCACGTGTCTGGTCCTCATAGGCTGTTCATTTTGGTACAAACAGGAGTCCCCCAAGTTCTCATCTGAGAGTTCTCGGGTGGGGACTTGATATCCTCTTTCGATGACCAAATGTTGTCCTATCGTTCGGTAATTTGGCGGAGGGAGGCGCTTGTTCTTTGTCCTTCCGTGCGTCTTTGCTGGGAAACAGAAATCGAGGGACTCAAGGGTCGCTTCTTCGAGGAACGATGGGATAGAAAGACGCTTCGTCTTCTGTTCCCCGCATGCTGTCTGGATACCCATACGATGAACGACACGTAGTGTGTTCGCTCATGCGGAGAGGCTCATTAATGCACCGTTTGGTTTTTCGAGGTGTACCGTTGTAAACCCTCGCCCTATAAATAGGAGAGACTCCGGAAGAGAAACTCACTTTGTATTTGTGAGTGAAGCGAGAGCTCTGTTCAGGCAATTTCTGGCGAGAGCTAACGGCAACCAAGGAGATTTTTGAGCAACCAATCGGCAATTAAGGTGATTTCCGACGAGGACGATTGGCAATTTAGTCTGCTTTCCCTTATCCAAAGCTCGATATAAGGTACCGTTCGACACTCTTTGAGTACTCTTACTCTGTGCACGTCCTTCCTTGGCATGAGCTAGACTGAACTTTGAATAAGTAGGTTCCGTTCAGTAGTCTAGTTGCCATACACAGTGATGTAGGAATCGGTAGGCTAGTCTTTTGAATGGCCCTTAGTTTCCTTTTTCTATTTTTTGTAGATGTCTGATAGCAAGTCTCTGTTTGAGAGAGAGCCCAATGCGTTCGATGGGGAGTCATTGGACGATCAATGGGATACAAGTAGTGAGGCCGTGAGCCTCGGTGCCGAGGGCGGAGAAGATACCTATGTCGAAATACTCGGTGAAGGGCCAAGCTCTGTTCCTACTCACTGCATCAGGAAGGGACTCATGACCAGGCAGCCAGTACTGTTGGCTGTGGTGTATCACCACGGCAATCATGTCTGCGTGAACCAGCACTACGAGTTCTAGATGGGGGATACTCGGGTGCCAGGTGAGCATACCTACGACTAATCGGGAACCTCCACTTCTGGCTGTGGAGAGGAAGCTACCGAACCCACACCTCAGCCGAGGGTAACCATAGTTCACCGGGGAAACCCTAGGGTGCCCATAGGAGTACCGAAGGAAAACCTTTTCAACGCAAAATATCTGGAGCCCAATATGATGACCGAGCGGGAGTTGGCCAAAATTTGTGATGAGTACCTTATCTCATATTCTGTAAGGATGAGGATCCCAGGCCCTACCGAATCGCTCAGCACATCGGAGGACGATGAATTTGTCTTCTTGACAGACGTTCTTCTGCAGGGGGTTCAATTGCCGCTACAACCTGCCGTGCAGAAGATACTGGCCCAAATTGGGTATGCTCCAGGCCAATACAATCCCAACTTTTGGGTGGCCTTGATAGGAGTGATCGTGGCTTTCGGTATCGTCAGGGAAGGAGAGCCTTCCTATGAGCAATTCTCCTATCTGTATAGCGTCACGAAGTCCAAGAGTGCCGATCATGGAAGCTGGGTTCAGGCCAACTGCTTGAAGGCTTCCGAACGGGGGTACTTTGTCAGCGCCGTGCCGACTTCTCAGAAGTCGTGGAGGAGTCGGCGGGTGCTTCTATCTGGTGATTGGGAATCGCCATCGGGAACGCCCATCCGTTTTCACGTTCCCACTACTTTCCAGAATGCCGGAAGGTTACCAGCATGTCGATCGACATGCAATTAGTGCATCTTTTCTTAGGGATTTTTAATCGCTTTCTGTTGTTTTTGCAAGCAAACTGAAGCAATCGATTCCAACTCAATTAGAGATTCGGCAGATTGACAGAGTGAGGTTGAAGATTCTTGTCGTTGATAGGGTGTACCCCATATTCCTTTTTACCACGAACCTGATCAAAGCCCAACTCGTCAGCCCTGCAGAGAGTATGTACAGTTCGTTTGCTTTGTATGTTTATTTATATCGTCTCGGCTCCTTGCCGAATGCCCATTTTGTATAGTGACAGACACCAGGAGGACTACCGAAGCCAAGAGGATGAATGAATCCTCCAAGATGTGTCTCATGATGGGCCTATAGGGGAAGAAGAAAAATTGACAGCCGGAAGCAGACCTGATGCCATCGGCGGGGGTTGATTTGGAGGATCAAACTCTTGCTTATCATCTCTGGCAGCTCAATGTCGAGTTAATGCCTAGGGGAGCGGCCGAGGCTGGCTCAACGCCGGGGAGTGGGCAGACTACTGAGGCCGCTGCCTCTAAGGCCACTGGTAAAAGGCCGATAACGGTAGATTTCGACATGGAGCTGGTGCCAAAGTGCGGGCGACAGACGAAGGTGCCGAGGGCTATCCTTGTTGATGAGGACGATGACACCTCTGCCGATCCGGTCACCATCGTCTGTCCATCGAAGACGATCCAATTCGCGAACCACATGATCCTCGGTTCGCAAATGGAGCTGTTTGAGATTGACGAGCTCCCGAAGAGGCTCCTTCAGGAGGAAGCCGGACGTGCCTTCCGTCTGCAGGCCTCCAGGCCTCGGTAAGTTCCTTGATTTTGTAAACGGCTACCGTTAGATTTCATACTTCTTTTGAATTTTCTGCTTTGTCTTC